GCTTTTTAGTTCGATTCATTAGCGTGGAGACGATGGCCTCCAATTCAGATTTAATTGACCTTCGTTCTCTTGGCTCATTATTATTCATAGACAAAAACAAGTAACATAAAAAAAATTTTTGAAGTGAATTCTGCTTTTTTCACTCTATTGCAGAAAGTCCTTTATAAATAATTTTCATTCATTTCAATTTCATTCATTTATGTGGCGCCATCTATTGGTAGATACATGCAACTTAAATCTAAAAAAACTGAAATTAATGAATTAAATTTAATTACTGAATTAATATTTGAAAAAACTGTATTAACATCAAGTGTCATCCACTACAAGCTCAAATGTATTTGAACTTGAGTAGATGAATAAAAAGTATTTTATTAACGATTGAAAATTTGAACAATATATAGGGAGAGTGTGAGCTAATAGAAGGAATTGAATGAAGTCTTTTGTGTTATTGTCCTTGGGCTTCATGTCTACTCTAATTATTTAATCTATTTTGAATGTTGATGATTTGCGTCCTCAAAGCATTAAAAAAAAAATTAGAAATCAACAATTTGCGTTACTATTTTTTTATGAAAACATTAAATAGTTACTTTAATTAAGAAAGTATAAAAATTATATATATGCTATTTATTTTGGTTAGAGCCTGATGGCCGAATGACTAGCGCTCTGGCGTTCGGTGCTCTGGCGTTTACAGGTTCGAGTCCCATCAGTGTCATAGATGCTTGTAGTGGTTCGAATCCCCTTTAACCGAGGTTCCAGTTTAATATGACTGGAAATCGTGGCGCTGAGAACCCTACTTCATAATAAAATCTCCTGTCTTGAAATTTGCCAGCAGGGAGACGGCCTTGGCCCACTAAGTGGCTGTTGTGCTAGTGAAGAAGACGAATTTATTTTGGTTTGGATTTCATGTATTTCTTTTTTTTGCCTTGTTATGCCATTGGCAGATCTTGTATTCCACGTATTCTACGAACTGGCGAGGTTGAGAACTGTCTTCCAAGAGGACTTTTATGGGTAACTGCCACGAATTTGCATCTCATAAACATGGAAAATCGGTGAACTCTTACCAGACATGCAGATCATCGCTTTGCACACGTTATCACAATCGGCATTGAGTTTTCTTGCTTCTGAAAGCAATGACAGCAACAGACGCCACAATTACATTTGAACCCGTGTTCTTCTTTTTACACTATCTACGCACGTTTCTACAGAGCCATTAATCAGGCTCCTATACAAATAGGTCTTTAAAACTTTCTGAAGCACAGCGCCAACAAAACTCAAAATTTTTAAACTTCATGCAATCTAAAACGAAGACATTTCTTGGTCAAACACAAGCAAAATACAAATTTTTTAAAACTAATATTAAGTTTCAATTATTCGTAAATTTTCGAATGAAAGTTGTTTACGCCATATTTAATACAATGAACTATCTTTTTTTGCAAAAATAATAAGAAAAATTACTTTTTATTATTGAATTTCACAAAAATGTTCCTACGAAATATCAAAAATTAGTTTTAAAATTGCCTGCAGAAACGAGTTTATATCTATTATTTTACAATCCTAAAATTTTATTTATTTTCCAATAATTTCAAGATAAAGTGTTTTTTTAAAAGTTGTTTCATATTTTTTTTAACGCTATTCCTTGAATTTATTAAATATTTTCAAATATCTATTGCAATAGAATTATAATAATCTTTAAACTAATTTTTATTTTAAATTGTTTTTAATAGAAAAGTTGTGACTAAAACTATTAGACAAAAAAAAAAATAATAGTAACTAGCAAATATTGATTCCTTTATATTAGTACTTTTAATGTTTTACTTATGAATAATTTTAACTGTTTATTTTTTTTTAAATAAAAACAGTACACTTTAAAATGAAATAAGTCAGAAATAACCAAATAATTTGATTAAAATCTGTAAATTTGTTTAAAAAGTAAAATTCATAATAATTTTTAAAATATTAGAAAAAAAAAGTAGAATTTCTATTCTTTTCGTAATAAAAAAAAAAGTAAACTAATTTTTCAGGTAATATAAAAATAGATTACGTCATTTACAGCTGTCATAATTCAATATAAAATTAAATTAGTTTATGGCGCAAATAAAAGCATCGCCTTTGATAAGAAAATGTTTTTCAAATTCCGACTGAAACATTTTATATATCTGTTTACAATTGCATTACAAGAGTCTTACAAAATTTATATTACTTTGAATTTTGCAAGAACCGGCTAGACTCTTGTAAATAGGACTAATTTCTTTATTTGTGAATCCATTTTATCTTGTTCTTATTTAGTTCATTTCAGTTGAGAGAGCACTGATACAGAAAAATTATGACATTAATTAATTGCAATACAGTCTAATAGAATAAATATATGCTTATTATTATTTTAGCTTATTAGTTTAAATATATGCTTATTATTTTTATAGTTTTGTATGAAGGATTTCCAAGCACGTGAAACGTTGTTTGTGCCAATTCTGAATTCTTGGATTACTCCTGTCACGCTACACGGCCTGATGGTCAATTGGCTAGCACTCTGGCCTTTGGTACCATAGGCTTCAGATTCGTATCTTGGTGGTGGCATGGATGTTTTTTAGTGGTTCGGAATCTACTTTAAACTGTGGGTCCCGGTGTATTTAGCCTAAAGTGTGCACAAGATGACCGTAGAGCGACAAACCAAACCAAACCTCAAGTTTGCCGATCTTTCTACTACGTGTCAAGCCTTCCAGATGGTTTCTACTAGCCAGCCATTTTGCAAACATTGATTGACTTCAAGTTCCACAAAAATTTTAATAGCGCACTTTCGTCCTTCTTTTATTGTAGTTTGGCATTTTACTTGCTGCCTGCACGCATTTTGAGGTCTCTTATATTGTCGGTGGCATGTTGCTCTAGATATTTGCATACAAATCACTCTTATATATCACTATTCTGAATTGGCTATTTATTGTACAGATAGCAGCAAATGCATTTCTACAATGTCAGGATTGCATGCTGGCAAATATCATCATTCCATTCTTACACTGCAGTGTAAAAATTTTTTTATCCTATTCTCGTCTTGGACATCTCGGTCATTAGTCGACAGGCATTCCAATACTGTAAAGTATGACAAAAATAATCACTGAAGGCATTAACAGTAACACAAAAAGAGAAACAGTTAAGAACATTAGGGCATATGCTGAGGTGTTCTAAAGCCATGGACACGCCATGGTCGCAAAGGGGGCAGATATCTGTAGCATCCAGTCCTTTCTATACAGGTGACTCTGTAAGTAGTCATGATCCGTGACAAGTCTGAAGTATGTTTCGCTGATCTCTCTAGGCGAAGAACTGGAAATTCTTGTTAACTTATTCAAAAGGGAATTTAACTTTTTCTCAGAAGCCTTCTCTCTATACAGGCTGAAACGGTTGAATTTAATGGATTAACATATGCATCGCATTATATGCCGCAGAAACCAAGAAGGATCAGGTTGCATCATTTGTGATCTATTAGTGGATAATAATTGTTAAGTGTTAAAATTATTAAGTTAACGGATTAAGTTAAGTTGGATTAAGTTGTTGTTAAATTATTAAGTTAAGTTGGATGATTTTTCATTACATACATAATTAATTACACATTTCTATAATTATAAATTAGATTTCGTGCCGCTAATTTTAAAATTTCTGGAGAGCATTTGATTTAGATATTTAATTATGTTAGAAGTCCATTAATTAAATAACAGAATAATTCTTAAATTTCTCGGCAAAACCAGTTATCGTCTTATAAAAACAAACACTCCAATCTGAATTTTGACTGCTCTCTGATTTTTATCAAATCGTATGGAAAGAGTTTTCAACAGAGAATATTAATGCTCTCAACAGAATTAATGCTCGTTTAGTTCAAAGGCCATCAATTCCAGCAGATCGCTTCAGGTCCAATGTATTTTTATTTGTTTAAGAAGATTCAGAATATTATTTCATTTTGGATTTATTCGGCATAATATGGCAACCTCTACCAAATGCTACATAGAAATAATAAAGTATAACAATCGTAAGCTTATATTTATTGATAATTAAGTTAAAAAAAAGAAACCATACCAACAACGTTCCTTCCAAATTTGGTTAGAGTTTTCCATCCTTAGGATTCTCAACTTGAAATACTGTTTCCCGGTAGTTCTTGATTGAATAAGAGTGACTGATGGCTGATGGGTAAATTCTCCAAGTTAATGAATCCAAACTTATGAACAAGTAGTAATGAGCACTGGCTGTTATTGAAATTCACTGGCGGTCATTGATTTAAAAAAAATGACGATTCGTTTGCTAATGTGACAATGAAAGTGAGGGTCTGCATTGACAGTCATATTCAAATGCAAATGCAAATACTTCTAAAAGGATTCAAGGCAAATTGGTAGTTTTTGTTCACAGAATTTTGGGTCTGAAATACACATCTATCTACACATTGTAGGGAATTAAATTTATAAAAATAATAATAGCTTTCAATTAAGTATACTTTTTTATCGTATTTGATTTTGTAAAAAAAAAAATAATATCGATTTTTGTTTTAATTGTATGAATTATTATTATTTTTATTTTTTAGCAAAACATATAGTATCGATCTAATTTAATCAGAAGCAATATGAATCTGAAATACTGGTGCCTAAGTGTATGACAAAAAGAAATTAAAAGGTAATATACGATGGTTCTCTATTTTTCTATTTAAATTCTTTTCATATTCTTACATAATCACATACTTTATTAAATGAAAAAAAAAAAAACCGATAAAATTTATCATGATAAAAAAAAAAAAAATTATTGAAGTTGAGTTTTGATTTCAAAAATGAGATATTTCTGAAATCCTTTGAATAAAAAGACTATTTTTAATATTTTTCGTTCCTTTATTCTGTAAAGATTTGTATTTTAAACACAATGTCATATAATATGCAATCTATAAAAATTGCAATAATCAGTAAAAAAAGATATAATATATTAGCAAGATGTAATTTATAGCAAATAATATCTCAATATTTATGTAAGATGCCGTCATAGCTCAATGGTTGAGCATTGTTCTTGTAAACCAAAGCTCATGAATTCAATTCTCACTGGCGGTTGTTATTATTTTGGCACGACTCGTGACTCGGGGTCAACATGGCCCTCTGGTGAGCACTGAGGTGAGGGCTGAGGTTCCATCCGCTGGCGGTATTGTTGTAGACATTGTTTCAAAAAACGATGAGACTCGAATGTCGTTTGTGATTTTCAGCATTTTTCGTGAGTCGGATTACCTGGTGAGAAGTTTTTTTTTATCATATGATACGCAATTTGGAATATTTGCTCCTAAATATCCTTTCTGAAGCCACTGTCCTCCTTCTTCAGAAACACGTAGCCGAGTCAGACTTCTACCTATGGGTTCTCCATCACAACAGAAGCTGCCCCTTTCCATCCATCCATGGCGGCCTGATCGCCAGTTGACTATTTATCTGGTTTTTGGAACCTCAGGCTTCAGCTTCGAATCCTGGCGGTGGCATGGATGTTTGTTAGTGATTCGGAATCCACTCTAAACTGTAGATCCCAGTGTATTTAGCCTAAAGTGTGCAAAAAATGACCGTAGAGCGACAAAAACCGAACCAATTCAAGAGTGGACTACTCATGGGATGTCTGTCCCGCACTGCAGGACATCGAGGATTAGACCTGAAACATAGACACACTTATGTAAATTAAGCGTTCCCTTTGTTATAACTCCTTTCAAGATATATATATATAAAAGTATTATATAATTCTATTCCTTTAAAAAAATATCCTGTAAAATTATAAAATGGTGAAAAAAAAAACTCTATTTTATAAACGTGTTCTAAAAACTAAATATTTTGATTCAAAAAAGTCTTTATACGATTCGAGTGCCAAAATATTAAAATCGGAAGAATGAAGTCTTACTTTTGATCACAATTTTCCTTTACTTGCTATTATATTTAGATGTATATATTTGCTTATTTCAAATTACAAATAATTACAAATACTGGGTTTTTCTTGTTTTCAGCTTAGTTAATTTTGTATAGAACTTTTAGATTTAAATTCATGCTCATACTTCTTTTGTTTTTTTTTTTTTTTCAGATGTGCATATTTTTAAGTTACTATTAAATTATTTTTAACTAAAAATGCCAAAAATAAATGAGGAAAGTCATTACATTAGGAGGAATAGGTTTGGTAAGTAAATTGTGAACATATTTATTGTAACTATTCTTAAATGTGACTATTACTTTTATGAATTTTAAAAACACTTTCTTCTTATTACATCATAGTATTTAGTTTTCAGTATTTGGTTTATTCTGACATAATTCCGATTGTAAATTAGAAAGTAGATTCCAGCAACCAATAGGAACTTTTAGGACACGTGGATGAATGTGGTCAGTTTAACAGTTTAAAACAAGTCTCTAAACGTTTTGGACTTATGGTTTAATTTTAATGGTTTTTTTTCTATCTGCAAATTGATTATTAACTCTTGACACAGGAAGCAAAGGAAGTCGCAAATATAAAACCGTTGGTAGCCAGTATTGCAGTCGCTATTTTCAAGGATGGAGAGACTCGTTGGCAATTATAATCATGTATCATAACCTTTAAGTGAATTTTTAAAAATTTTTATCGTGAATTTACATGATGACCTTGAAATAAGTAACTTCGCCAAATATCTGAAGCTTGCAAATTTTAACTGAGGTTGTAAAACGAAGAGAAATTTCTGTTTCAGAGTTTAAATCTTTTTTAAACGATGTAAAATTTGCATTAATTTTCAAAAGTTTGAAAACTACGCAACTGCATGCACAGCTGTTTAATTAATGGTAATGACGACATTTATACACATGGCAAGAAAAATTCGATCATTAAATTAATTCAATTTTTAAACTGAATAAATTGGAATACTGAGTGTATGCTATATATCAGAGCTAAGATATTAGAACTTGACTGAGGTTCTAGTAATTTCATGATTAACTTTTACTTTATAGAATGGCAATGCTTCGTGAACTTTGGTACATTCATGTTAAATAATGGAAGTGCATTCAACCACGATATTCCATTATTCATTTCAATGCGATGGAAAATGTATGTTTATATACAATAAATTTAAATTCGTGAGTAGATTTTATTCTTTTTTATAATCAAAACTTTCTGGAATTTTGGCAAACCAAACTTGTCCATGCTCTGACGCTTGGTGCCACAGGTTTCGGGTTCGTGTCTTGGTGTTATCTTGTAGGGGTTCTGATTCCACTTTAAACCGTAGGTCCCAGTCTAATAAGACTCTTGGGAGTAGGGCTGACAACCCTGTTCCGTAAAAAGAAAACATATCATGTCCCGAAATCTGCCAGTAGGCAGGCGCCTTGTCCGTCCATGGAGCTGTTGCGCCAATGAAGATTTGGTTTGATTTGTCGCTCTACAATAATTTTTTATAAATTTTAGGCTAATTAGACCATGACCTATAATTTAACGTGGATTCCGAACCATTAACAAAAAATCCATGACACCTCTAGGATTCGTACCTGAAGCCTGTGGTACCAAAGGCTAGAGCGCTAGCCAATTAACCATCAGGCCGACGAAGAATAAAGAAGATATTTGCACATGAATTTATATTAAAATTCTGATAAAAATGAATTCTTTATATGTATCTTAATTTACCATCTGCATAAAAGAAAAAGGAGAATATATTATTTCCCTCGAAAGAAAAGTCGTGAAGCTCATTCTGATCTATTTCTTCAATGATAGATGATTTTTGCCTTGACAGAGATTCCCGGAGTCCGATACTTGTTCGCCGCTTCCGGTTTCCTTGGATTTTGTGTCATCTACTCCATCCGAGTGAATCTCAATGTGGCCATAGTGGCGATGGTCAACAGCACTGCTGTGTACGACAAAGACAATGAAACCGTCACGGCGGAATGCAAAACTACATCCGTGCCATTCTCCACAAATAGTACGTCTTACGGGCCACCAAAGGTAAGAAGTGAGGATACAAATTATTAAAACGTTCCCTGTGTTCTAATGCTTCTGGTTATTAACAAAATTTCTATCAGTTTTTATGATTGAAATAAAATTGAAAATTTAACTAAAAATATATTTATTTCATCATTGTACGTAATTACGATTCCTTTCATAACATCTTCCCATCCAGCTTCTAGATTATTTTTTTTTTTTTTTTTTGATAAAATTAGTTTGTTTTTGGCTTGATATACGAATCTATCATTTCAGTTAGTGCTTAAGCCATGCAAAACAAATTCTGTAGGTTTCTAACAAGAGCAATCTGTTGTAGAAATATCTAGAAAACATAGCGGATAAAGCATGATTTCTTAGCATAATTATTCTTCTTCCGATATATTGTCTATGCCCAATTCTTTTAGGAGACTCTTAGACACCCTTGCAATATGAGACATTGTCATGTTGCGAAAAGATTCCTTTCCTGTTTATCAAAGAAGGCCACTTTTTCCTACAAAAATACTTTTAAATACCTTAGCTGCTGACAATATACTTCAGCTGTAATTATATATCACCTAACAGCACTTCATGAACAATTCGTTTTATATCCAAATATACATACAAAAATATCTTCTCTATATGCAAAACACTTAAAAGCTGTTGGATAGTCCTTGAATGATGGCTAAGCAGCTCTCTTTGTGCTTTAGCATTATTTTGAAATTTTCATTAATTTATCATAGATAGTTAGAAATGGAATCGGTGCTTATATTTTGCATTATTATTTTAAATTATCATTATAAAGAAAAATCTAGATAGAATTTTTATTAATTAAATATAAATAAGAAGGTTCTAATGTTGAAGCTCAATGTACTCATATTTGTATGAACCTTTGTAAACAATTTACACCCCCATTTTATAATTACTTATCCATTTTTCTCAACTATAAAATTCTTCCTCATATTTATTTCATGTATTTCATTAGTATGAAATTTTTTTCTGCTTATGATTAGTGTATGAAGAAAACTTTTTATCTCTTTTCTATCAGGTTTCAGGTGGGAAAAAACACATTAACTTGCATTTGGAATTTATTTTTGTTTTGATTCAAATGCTTTGTGTATTTATTTGCTGATGTTTTTATTTATTTTGCTTGCGTGTTTCCTAACTTATCAGTAATATCCTCATTTATTTGATAAATGAAGTAAATCACTGATAACAACTAATTTTTATCTCGAATTTTTTTGTTTCTCTTCTATAGTTACAGTAACTGAAAAAGATTAATGATTTAAAGTAATACAAGGTTAGGACACTATTTTTTAAATAGTTGTATACTTTCAGTTGCATAATTCATCAATCAAAATATTAAGATCATCTCTACTTTATGCAAAAAAATTTATCTTTATGGCCAGTCTTATGAAAGAAATGTGAATTGAGATGATATAGGAAGTCAATGTGCGTTGTTGCAAAATGCAACAGATTTATCAGACACCACCAGCAAAGGATACAAAGTGATCACAAGTGTGGTTAAAAACATATTAGAGACTATTTATATCTGGTAAGATTTGCGACTGTCGTAGCATCATATCCGGCTGTATATACATATATATATATAATGTACGTCTCCTAACAAAGACACTTGTCCATATTGTCACTGGTGGCATTACAACTGTTGATGACTTGAATCTTAGACATAATCTTGATAAAGCAAACTAACAACTGCCCCAATAACTTTACCCAAAATACTGTTCAGACTTCTATAAACTGTCTTGACCTCATTCTTCCTACTTATAAAACTGTAACTACTCACGACTCTAAAATTTATAATTATGTCAATAAGCATACATTCGTAATGTTCCGGACAGGGATAATATTACATAGGTTTATGAGATCTTGAAGATCCGTATTTCTTAACAAAACTTACCTCAGATGTTATTATTTATTTTCTTTGGGTTCACTAGTTTGCATCAGGGTTTACGGAAGACATTTATTTACACCCTGTCGTATGTTTTGTGTAATTTTTTTTTGTGACATTGGAGTTTTGTAGCTCTACATTTTGATCTTGATGGTTAATTAAATAATTTTCAGTGTCTTTGCTTTTTTTCTGAGAGATTAATGCGAATTTGAATGTGAGGTATTCCCTGAATTTCCCAGTAGACAATTC